TTTCTGCAGCAGGACACACAGTTCATGGCTACATTCAGAGGCCACTCCTGTGGCAGCCCAAGATATTTTACCAATTTATTTACCTGATTTTCAGGTGAATTGGCAGGTTTAGCACTCTGCTCGCAAGGCTGTGCTGCCTATTTCATTAACCCCTATTACCTGAGAGTAATGGCAGTTACAATGTGAGACCGGAACCTCAGCTTCTCCTAAAGGGATTAGAGATTGCATCTGTAACTCAGACTTTTCTTAGGACATCAGCCGGGTGTTTCTCAGCTGGTGGCATGGAGCAGGGATGGAAACTGCCTCCGCTAGACAGTGAATCCATTTGCTGTTTCCCAGTATTCCTCTGGGACGTGCATATAAGGTACCTTCTGTGATTCTACTTCTCTTAAAAATCAAAAAGTCTAGTCTTTGCTACCTCTTAATACTCCATTGGGAAGCCAGAGTAGAAAACGTCTCCATAAAAATGTAAGTGCTCAAGAACAATTCCACACTATTAGGAGCTGCTCTGTGCATGGTTGAAATCCCAATCCATAGCTTCAGCTTCCATGTTCATGCAGAGACTTGGAATGGAAGTCAGTGCCTTTTAAAGGGGGGCAGATTTCCAGCCATTCAGAAAGCTAGGAGCTCATGCTTTATTTTCTTTTTTTGAAATTATAAACACGTTTTATTTCCCATATAGTCACCTTTTCTGAGCAAGCCAAATCCTACCTCTAAGCAAATGCATTTCAAGTCTTTTTAAGCTCAGACAGGTTTGGTGTAACTCAGTCAAACGCAGAGGTTGTTACAGTTGGATCAGAACACCGGAGATGAAGGAGGTTTGTTACCTAGCAAAGTTGGGAAGTCTCATAAATGGCTTTGGTGAAGGCATAGAGTGTTGGCAACTTGCAAATTAGCCATGGGGTTTGTTTTTAATAAAGGTATAAACTGCAGCACTTCCGGCTTCTGCTTTGCCTCCTCCATGTGTAACAACCTCAGCATACATGCACAGCACCAGACAAGGTGGCTTTCTCTGTCAGGAGTCCTGTACATGATAAAACAAGATGTGGTTATTCAGGAGCACCCACAGATCGAGGTGAAAACAAGGACTAATGAGCATGAGGAAGCACACATGGACAAAAACAGACAGGCCCTTAAACCCAATTGCTGGTACCTAATTCCATCCTGTATAGTACCTCTAACTGGTTTGACTGGAGCACAAACCAATTCTACTTCATGTGTACATCCAGAAGTCCACACAGCTGAGTCTGTTTATGCCCCACGTTGTTCTGTGTGCCATACAACTGTTTAGCTTTTAATACAGGTAATTCTGTTCCTGTGCATAGCCTCTGCAGTTAATCTGACAGCTTTCCTACCTACTCCCATGGTTTGGGTCTGTGGACCAGAAGATGATGCATAAATCTGAAATACACCACCAATATCACCGTGGAGCTGCCAGTGCTGCTGCCCACACTCACCCCAGTGTGGGAAGGCTATCGTGGACAGAGCTGCAAGTGAGCTGATGAACCCCCAGTTTGTGCAGGAGTTCAGCTGGTTAGAGGAGGATGTGGCAAACAGACAAGTTGGAGTTTGTCCTTCTGCACTCTGAATGCCCCACGCTGGAAGCTGCTGCCTTCCCAACTTCTCCACCACGCTTTCCTGAAGAGGTCCAAGCTTCCATGCTGTGGAGCACTAAACCTCGACCCCTGCAGAGCTTGTCCTTCCAAGCTTTTCACACTTACTGCAGTCCGAAAGAGTAGGGAAATTGCTGCATTACAAACTGCCAACAGGTACTGAGGATACACTCAACCTGTGGAAAACGCAAATGATGGGGAGGAAAAAAAAGACAATGACACTAGATTTCATGTAAATAGTTTAATTATATTTCAATGCTTAAAACACAGAAACACTTGAATTAAATTACATCATAATGCTTCTGCTAAACTGAACATACACTTCCAAGAACTGTGAGAGGCGCTACTGAACTAAAAGAATACTCCAGTACAAGCCCAGCAAATACCCGTAATACTCTTTTAGTGTTATTATCTGTACTTCTTTAATCTAAGGGCAGTCTTCACAGGACAAAGCCTACCATTACAGGAAAAATGGTTGAAGAGAATTCCGCTGAAGGTGTGTTTGTTATACAAGATACATCTCAGCGTTAACGGGGAACAAGGTGCACATTTTTGCACCTCAGCTGGCGGATGCACTGCTTGGCAGCTGCCTGGGCAGCACATGGAGCTGGAGGAAGAGCACAAAGTTGGCTGTTGTTGAAACAGCTCAGCTTACACTTGCCTCTTACCGAGTTTAAATGAAGTTCCAACCCTAGGAGTTCTAGGGTAGCCATGCAGCCCTGCTGCCGCAGGGAGAAATCTGATGTCTGTGTGGCTGGCTGCCCTCGGGGAGCACTCAGAGGAGATGGTAAGTGTGCATGTGTGTGGCAGGGTGATGTATTTGCTTCTCAGCTGGTCACGTAAGCATAACCTCTAGGAAGACCCACAGATGGTGTCCAAATTCTAAGGACCTAAGCCAGATTTCATGGAGTATTTGTACCCATGCACCTTCCTGCCAACAGCGTTCCTGGAGTGCAAACACCAGCACAGCCTGGGGGTGCCTCCTGCCAGATCTCCTGGGTGTGGAGGATGGGCCGTTTTCCACAGCTGATGACACTCCTAACCCCAGTACACTCCCACAACTCCCTGGTTTTAAAAAGAAAGATGGATACTGAAAAATTAGAGCAACTTAGCTCTGCAAAACTGCCATGAGGGAAGCTGACAGTGAAGGAGGTAGGGGTGCTGAGGTGCTGTGCACTGCAGGGGTCTGTGGCACATGCCCAGGAAAGAGTCTGCATTTAATGAATACAGAGAAAAATGAATCACAGTGGGGAAGGGGAAAAAAAAAAGATTTGGGAGAACAAAACTACCTGGCAGGTCCAAACCTGCAACAAAGCACATAATAACTTAATTGCCCCGCAGCAAAACATCATCTTGCATAAAGCCTACCTTTAGATGTGCCTTCAGATTTTGGCTTGCCCTGATTCCCTTTTGACCGGTGCTGTGGATGGAACATGACCTGACTGACACAAATGCATGTACTGCAAAATAAATCAGGAGGTGATCAGTGCAGGGCTGGGCACCGATGCTTGCATGCAGGCTCTGCAGCTGGCCACTGGCCACTGTGGTGGCCTGCAGTACTCAGGGCTGTTGGCCACCAAAAGGCTCTGCAGAGGACGGCCCCCGTGCTGCACTGCAGCGTGCCAAGGTGGCCAGAGACGCCTTCGCACTCTCTCCCTCCTGCAGCCCTGAGGATACACAGGCAGAGAGATGCTTCAGGGTTACAGGGAAACTCCTCGCTTACCTGTCTAGTCCCACCTTTGCATTAGCAGGTAACATGAGCAGAGGCTAGCACACAGCTCCATGTTTCCTTCAGCGGGGAGAAGAGAAGGCTCTGACTGCAGGTCCTGGCAGGTAAGGAAGTATGAACCAGCTGTTCACTTATCTCTGGAGGCAGACATGGGGCTGTTGTAATGGTGAGCAAATACATATTTTTCCTTATTTAAAATAAATTATTTCATGGCTTAATATTTTTTTCTGGATAACACTCTGCGCTGTAAGAAACTTCCCTGAGCCAAAGCAAGAGAGGGGTACGGGAACCTCAGTTCTATTCAAGTCTTCTCTGTGGCCCAAGCACTGTTATTCCTAGCTCAACAGCAGGCAGTCACATAGCCAGACATTGACACCTCCTGCCCCTAGCTGTGTGAATCCCCCTTTGTTTATTTGGCAGCCTTAATTTGAGATATTCAGCTGCTTCCTCAGTTAAGATGTAATCAGCCAAATATTCACCATTTCACTTTTAAAAGAATTCCCCATGGTTCAACATCTCAGGTGCACATTTATCAGCAGCCCACATGCCACAAGGGGTATAAGCCCATTGTATGTGTTTTCCCTGGTGTGCCCTGGATTACCACCCAGCTAAGGGAGTTGGTTCTCCTTGCTCAAAGGGGCTTTGCTACCAGTTGCCCCCTCCAGGATCTGCCACAGCTGTCATCACTGTATAGAGAGACTCACTTCTTGCTTTCCTTCAGGTCTGGTGGCACAAAGCCAATGGGAAACACGCACCTCTCCTTCCCTGACCCAGAAAGTGTGCACATGTGCTCTGACAAGTTAATCTACAACAAAGCAGGCGCTGTTCCTAAGTACACAGCTTGGTAGATGGTATCAGTCAGCACCAGCCCAGAAACTGAAGCTCAGGAGCTTTTACTGGTAACAGACACACCAAAAAATCACCACTGCCATCACAGAGAGTTTGCTTCCCAAAGTGACAACAGTTCCCAGTGCTTGTGCCCATCTGTAAGACAAACCAACAGGGTGACCAGCTGGGCTGAGTGGATTGGCCATGCTTGCGGGAAGTCACTGGTTTGTTGGCTTCATCCTCCCCAGTCTCAGCAGGATCCCAGAGCAGGGGCAGGTATTGTTCATGCATTGATGGCATTGGCAACGTCTGTGAACACAAGACGGCTGGGTCTCTGGAGGGCTCCTTGACTTGTCAGCGGAATCTGCATTGAAGCAGTGAAAGATGAGACCCAGCAAGTCTGCCTTTGCTCAGGTGCGTGTGCTTGGGCACAGCCTGCACAGCATTAGATTCCACCCCTTACTAAGGGGAGCCTGGTTGACTAGCATGGCATTAGCAAGGCTGTGACAGAAAAATACAACAGGCCAGAAAGCAAGTCAGCACATCCATGCCAATTTAAAATCCCCACATTGTTGGACTACTGGGACTCACTATTTATATATACAAGGCAGCATAAAAAGACTTGAAACATCAAGAAGGCCTGGAAACGTGCCATAGACTGAACTTTGGCTGCTGTTTTAGACTCTCCCTCTCTTACTCTGTTAAGCTTTTAAACTCGTGTACTTTCCAAGCAGAGGTATCTTGCATTAGCAAGCTCTGGAGGGATCTGAGGTATCCTGCTGGCCAGTCCCCATATAGGAAGGATGTGCTTTCACTGTGCTAAGTTTAACTCTGGACTTTACTATCTGAAGGGAAGTCCTCTCTGTGCACTAATAGAGAGATCTGATGTTTTCCCAGTATGTGCTGCTCAGAGGACAAGATCCTTTGCTTTTATATAGCAGTACTTGCTTGCCCAAAGCGGGGTATGAGATATGTAGACTACATTTCATATTCTAACACATACATCTCTCGTGTGTTCTTTGGCAGGTTGGGAAGTACATCTCAAGGTAAATATTTTACAATTGCAGCTGTATTTATTATCTCCTTTTTCCCTTTCTGCCCACACCAGCCCTGCCACGGATTATCTGAAGGTGTAAAGTGGAAACAGGATTGTCTGGGAGAACACCCGTTCCTGGAACTGGAAAAGCAAGGGAAGACACAGGCAACACAGAGCAGCTGGAGAGGGATGCAAGAAAAGGCAGATGCCTACTCTAGGAGGAGGCTGTATCACTGACAGAGACGTACCTGCTGCAACCATCCCTGCTGGCTCTGTCTTTCAGAAGGGCTTTTTGTGTGTGGTGGTGATGGCAAAGGAAACAGAAAACACTGTGAAGCTGCCTGCAAACAATGGTGAGAAGCCCTTTTTCCCTACATCTCCTACCTCCTGGTACACAGAGGGAGGATATAGCCTCTTGTCAAAGGCCCATCTGGACCATTAACCAAAGAACAACTGGCCAAGCTCTTTCCTAACTCACGAATGTAGTAAGTCAGTTGTCTCCAAGGACCTTGTAATTTCTCTGTATGCTGCATGCTTTTGAACTCTCAGAAGTGGTAAAAGCAAAGCTGCTTCCCCTCTCCCCAAATTCAAACTGAGAACTCTCCTCCCTTCTCTCTTTGAGCCATGCCTGCTCTGTGCCCAGCAAGGTTGGTCTGGAGGTGCTGACAAGATCAGATGTGCCAATTCACAACAACATGCAGGATTTCTGCCTGCATTCTTAAGGGCTTGCAGCACAGTTAACTGTTATGACTACAGGCTTTCCCTCAGCAAGGCCTTGTTCCACATTTGTATCCTTAGACAAAGCAGAGATACCTTAAAACTGGGGAGAAGGTATTTGCTTTTCAGTGCCAGGGCAAGGAAGCCTCCTGGGCATTGAAGCCCCCTCTCCCAGAAAACTGCACTAATCCTACTGCTCCCCTGTGGTGCTCTGGGTGGTAAACTGTTGCAAACTCACCTTTAATTACTGAAACTGCCCTTCTCTCTCCTAGCTGAGTAAAGCCAGCACTTACACTTCCCTAGGCTCTTCATCCTAATTGCCTGACTCTTCAATCCATCCTGAGCACTCAAAATGCTCAAGACCCCATTTCCAGGGCTAGCAGAGATGGGGGAAGCCCTCCCAAAGTCTTTCACAGAGCACCTCCTCTCCCTTCTTCTCTGATTTACGTGTCTGCAGAGTTGTTTCTCTCACAACTCCCCTCTCTGCTGCTGCCTCTGTAGCAGGTTTTTCCCCTTCTTAAATATGTTATCACAGACGTGCTACCACCATCACTGATTGGCTCAGCCTTGGCCAGCAGTGAGTCCATCTTTGAACTGACTGGCATTGGCTTTACTGGAAATAGGGGAAGCTTCTCACAGCTTCTCACAGAAGCCATCCCTGTATCCCCCCCCAATACCAAAACTTTGCCATGCAAACCCAATACAGTTTCCTTACCCTACAAACCCTCCTTGACTCTGCAACAAAAGCAGTGCACATGCCAGTGGTTGTGCTAACAGACTGGCTGTTCCCTGCTGCCTACCTTGCTCTGTGATGCCTGGGAAGATGCTGCATCTCGCCCATGTTCCAGCAGCTCCTGCTCTAGTTCATCCTGTTCCTCGGTGGGATCGAAGTTGTACATGGGCATGAGCTGGTGCCGTAGCTTCTCCAACCTGCCCATGGGAGGGAAGGGAAAACGTTGGTTTAAAACCTTAGTAAATAGAAAGACAGCTGCTGAGGCTGCCTTCCCCACCGCTGAGGCCTCCTGCAGGCTGCTTCATTGCCACTTGCTGGATAAGGGTATCCTGGCGTGTGATGTCCTGCAGGGATGAGGATAAGAACCTACTACGCACAGCTGGCAGGAGTGGAAGATACCCGGAGTGCAGTCACAGGGATTAATTGCCATCACTAATCTATGTTGGCAGGCATTACGCACAGAGGAATCAGACAGGGATTTAAGTTCCTGCAGACCTTAAAAGATCCAAGTTTATGCGGTGAGACAAAAGAGAGGGTGGAACACACTGACATTGTGCAATCTCTCCCCCTGTCCCTCTGCCCACAACCAGTCCTGCCATGTTGCACCATGCCTGCCAGCAGAAGTCCGCTTTTAGCTCCAGTGCCTAAGAACAGTACTTTAACTCTGGGGTTGAAGTACCTAAAAATAAACAGAAAATAGGAGAGATTCTCATAGGAGGCTGATGCTGCTCAACCAGACAGACTGCTCTTACTATTGTATCATTGCTCCAAGTGACAGAGCTATAAAGTATTACCCCAAGGGGTCTCCCTAAATACTGGGCAGCTCAGTGGTGGAGGACAGACGTGTGGGCACGGTCCCGCGAAAACACTGAGCCCTGTCTTAATCTGTCGCCGAGTTTTGGAGGTGGGGGAGGGAAACGTGTGAGCAGTTACTGGCAGTGTCACCACAAATATCTATTCTGGCAAGTGCTAGGATGACACACTCCCTCCCAGCCTCTGTATGGCTTTGCCAACACAACCATTATCTCCAGCAGTGCCATGGTCACAGGCCAAGCGTTAGCGTGTTATCTGGGCTTCAGGGCCTGGCTTGGAAATTTTACAGTGGACAGCAGTACTTCTTGAAAGTCTGTGGCCAGGCCAGGCCACAGTCAGGCAGGGAGGAGGCACCACATCTAATAGAGCTTCACTAGCATCTCTGCTGTCAGAGATAGAAGAATCAAGAAGTGTGTCACCCTGCAGGCTGCTCTCCTCTCTATTTTCAGCCAGGAGCTTAACGAGGAAATTAAGACACTAAGTCTCAGGCTACAAAGCTGTGTCTCTGCACTATGATGCTGTCAGCTGTTGTGACTGCAGCTAAAGAGGCCTTCAGCCTTGCAAGGCCAGTGTCATTGGCGTGGGCTGTTGGAAAACACAGGGACCTGGGAATGGCTGAAACATGAGATCCACACCTCTTATGATAGAGTTCCAAGCTTCTTTATACACTCATTACACTTTCCTCTGTTTTAGTGCATCTCACAGATGAAGCATGAAGAGTTTGCAGGATCCCTAACCTCCTCCTGCTCAACCACGATGTGTGAAGCTCTGGCATTAGAATGTAGGCCAGTACCAGGAGGGCAGCATCTCTGTCCCTGCCTCCTTCACACACAGCTGACTCCCCATAGGCTTGTTCTCAAACAGCCATCCCTTACACTCTCCCTGTCCCCTTCCTAGCTCTGTCTGGATTTTGAAGCACTGAGTTCCCTTCATCTGACACTAGATGTTACTTACCTCTTCCTCTTCCTGATATACAGAACCTGAAGGAGAAAGAAAACCATCGTTACAACAGTCCCAGTAAGATGCAGAACAGCTGGGAAGAGAAATTTAGGGCACAGGGCACACAGAAAGGAGGTGCAGCAAGTTGGTGTCACTGCACACCAAAGAAGGGGGAAGGGAGAAGTGACAGCCAAAAATGGAATTTCCTATGCGTTGGTGTAAGCTCAGCAGCACACCCAAGTCTGATACTAAGTGCTCGAGTGACCTGTTATTAGGTGTGTTAGTAGTAGTCAGAGTATTAGGTGTACTATTATTAGGTGTAGCTCAGCACATTTATAGTGGCTGCAGCTCTTATATTGCAATTCAAGAGTGGATGAAGAACCTTCCCTTTGTGGTTTTCATCTGTAGATTTCCTACAGCATAGAAGTGCTGTTACCCACTACCCAGGATACAGGGAAGAAGCAAAGAGGGCATGCGCAGGGACTTGCCTCATGTCAGCCAGTAAGTGGCTGTGCTGGGAAGAAAGCGAGGCTTTTGGCCTCCAGAGCCTTGTTCTGAGAACTACCAACGCTGGATGTTGCTCTTGGGAACTTATGACTGTTTCCAGGATAATGTTTCCAGGTTCTCTCAGGGGCTTTTGGAAAACCTCCTCCTTTGGCCTGCAATGAATTTTTGCAGTAGTCCCTTTCTGTGTAGGCTCCTCTGCTGGTTGTATTAGTGAAGCTCTTCCTCATGAGAGGAATGGGAGCTTGCTGCTACCTTCCGTTCTCTGTTGGCAGGTAAACGATCTGGTTATATATCAAAAGAACTGCAGTGCTTGCATTGCCCATGTCAGGCCCAGAACCATAGCTTCTGAAAGCTTCTGCCTATGGCATTAATGGCAAAGTTACTTACACAGCAAATCCTTCAGGACTCTGCTGATACCGAGCAAGCAGAACCTTGGATTTGCAGTCCAGAATGAGTCTAGCTAAAATGGATTCAGGATGCTTTAATTCAAAAAGGCATGTCCTCAGGGGAGATTAACATGGTTTCAACAGTGCACTTCAAGAGTTAATCGAGATGAACTTCCTTGCGGGTCTCTGTGTTGACAACGTTTAAATCAATGCAGCTGTTCCAGTTAACAAGTCAGAACACAATCTGCTTTGTGTTCTTCTAACTGAACTTCCCATTGCTATTTAAAATAAATACTAATACTCTGTATGGCATCCTCTAGGCCTGCTGAGCATCCTGCTCAAAGTAAGCACCAGGGAGACTGCACAAAGGCCTTAAAAAGAAAGGGATCTCAGGAACTATCAGCTCCCAGCAGTTCTGGGTGAGCCTTCAGTACAATGCAAATAAATTATTCAACCCAGATCAGTCCTAGAGCCCCTTTGCCATCCTCCACCCTCAACAGAGAAGTATTTAGCAGGGTTCTCTTACCATAGCTACAGCCAACCCAATCACAGTAATGATCCCAAAGGACAGCAGCATTGTGCTCATGCTGGGTCCAGTGCTGGTCACATCTGGGACTTTGGTACTGTTGAAACTGGTAGTCTCAGGGCTTATGGTAGCTGTTTCTGGTACAGTCACATCCAGAGTTGTCCCTGGCTCTGTCTTGGCTGTGGTGGTAGTGCTGTGATACACGTCATGCACAGACGGTGAGCTGTAACTCATACTGCCAGCTCTTTAGCTCCTCTTACCAAGCTGTTGTCCTCACCCATGAGCTACAGAAGGAGAGAGCTGCCCTCCAAATCAAGGACCCTCATGTGAGACCTATGTTGTAGGATCATCGCTGATGGCTTTTCTTCATAGGAACCACACTGGCTTCTGCCTAGGAAAGAATGAGAACAAATGAACAGTGCAGAGCTCTTGGAGACAGGCACGTCCTTCAGCCAAACCTTCCCAATTTACCAGTACAATTTTTGAGATCAGCTTACAGATGCCCACTCAAAATAAGAACAATATTTTTCAGGGGTACTGAGAGCCCCTGAAGTCATGCCTGATTCATGTGAAGTCAGTGATACGCTCTCCCCTCACTGCTTCAGCTTTGCCTCCTTGCAGGCACTTGGCAGATCAATGTGGGGACAACCTCAGAACCTGCCTTCGGTCTGCTTCAGGCTGAACCAGGTGGCTTCTACCCACCCCAGGAGAAAGAGCATTTTCCTGCTTCTCTTCTGTCTCTTGCTTTTAATTTATGGAAAGTTATGTGGATCTCCTCATTGGTGAGAACTGATCAATAAAATGGCACTCAGCTGTAAGGCGTCCATATCTCAGGATGCTTTTTATTGAATCCAAAGCAGGACTTCCCTGTTGTGGTAGTCACTGCAGTATCCATTGCCCCCCTGTCCCTCATCCCATGCACTCTGGAAAGGCAGCTTCCTTAGAGCAAGGTAGCACCGGTCCCTCATCTGCTATTAAAGGCAGTGAGTATTTCTCAAGTCCCCCATGAAAGCACCCACTCAAGCTTAGTCATGCACTGCTAATTATCAATATTAATTTTAAAATTAGCCCAATTTTGGATTGGAGTTGTGAAATTTGATAGATCTATTCATCCAGAAAACATGAGAGGCTTTAATTGCTTCATGCTCCTATTGTGCAAACGATCAGGAGTTGCGAAACACCAAGGGATGATCCTGCTGGAAGTATTTGCACAACTATGTTTATAAAAACCACTGTATGTAACATTAGTTCAGTAATTGCTCCTGTGAAAATGCAGCTATCTCTGGAGCAGAGCAGTGCTGACCCCAAGAGCTATTTTAGCAGCTGATAATTTCCCTGCAGTTTAGCAGACATTACATATCTGGACTGGAATGCAGCCAGGACGTAAGGGTTAATGAGCTCTGAATAGAAAAAGATGTGCCCACAAAGAGAAATGAGCCACTGTTCTGTTCCTCTCTGTTCTATTCTAGGCAAGGTTATCGCACCGTTCCCATTACTGTGACGCCTTGCTGCTGCCTATAACTGCATTAAGCAGCATGATTAACATCTGTCACTAACAACTGAAGCAGGGAAATCAGAGCAGGCAAATCAGGCCGCCCTGTGGTCAGTCAGCAGCCCACGCAGCCAGCTCGACGCGTGCAGCACTTGTCCTGAGCCACGTACATCTCTCACCACGCACGCAGGACCAGTCTCACAGCTCCCTGGGAACAACTTTTGTTGGGGAATTCTGAAGTGCCTGGGAGACTGCAGGAGCTGGCAACCAACCATGAGTGAGAGAAATGTGAAGACAGCTCTTCTGGTTTGGTCCCACCTAACACCATACTGAGAAACAAGTTCATTGCAGCTGAGAGACCACGTCCTTCACTGACCACCAAACCATGCACGCCTGGTACAAACTGTGTGGCGCCTGGGTTTCCCCAGCCATTATTGCCCACAGTGGAGCTCAGAGGCAGTGGACACTTGGGCACAAAGATGGCAAATTTGAAATCTGAGTGGCACAACAGCAGCAGCAGCTATGGCCCTGCAGGGAAAGGGAGAGAATGCTGAGCAGGTACCAGGCAGACTGAGCAGCTGCTCAGGGAGAACCACTGACCTGTGCTATTCAGAAAAACTCTCCACTCACGTTTGAAAACAATCCACCACCAAGGAAATCAAAAGTGGAAAAAGAACCAAAGTGAAAGGAGTGAAGCAGGCCCAAAGGCTTAGCAAAGTATGGCTCCAGATCTCCAACAGGTCCTGAATTTTGGAAACAAAATCTGTTTTGGAAAACCATTGGAACTTGGATGTTGAAGCTGACACCAAGCCTTTGGGCAAGACCCCTTCTGCATAGGCCTGACACTGTGCTGCTGTGCATTGTTCCCCTGAGTAAAATTAGGTTAGGTTAAAGTTAGCCAGCAGAAAATCTGGTCAAGTGGGGATGAGAGCTCTTGTTCATGCTTAAAGTCCTGTGCATGCTGAAGGATTCCCAAGCCCAGAGACCTTGCTCTAAAAGCCATCCTGGCTGAATGGTTTCTGACATGGCTTAGAAAACCAGCTCGAGGGCCAGAGGAGGGTGTTTCTGTTCCCAAGCCCTTTCTGGCCCAGGTTGCAGAGGGCTAGATGGGGAGACTGAGCACAAGTATGGCCCAGGATCCACACCTTACAACAGCAGAGCTGGGAGTGGATGATCTTTCCCACCACCTTCCTTGCCCAGTCGTCATCCTGGTGCTGGCAGTTTGATCTGCAGGCTGGGCACTTTCTGTGCCTCTGATGGCTGCTCTAGGGACAGGGACAGCTACTACCTATAGCTGGCAGGTTTCAACACAGTCCATGCACAAATAGAACCAAACAGAAGAGGAACCAGATCCTCAGTTGCTGCGAGCTGGCATTCTTCCATTGCCTGCAGCACCAGAGCCTCTCACACAGCCAGGACCGCTCTGTGCTGGGCTCTGCTGGGTCTGGGGATAAGAAAACATTTGTTTCTCTCCTAAGCCAGCATTTCCAAACTGGTCTCTGATAGGTGCTGTGGTGGCCAACACCTCTGAGATGCAGAACATCATGCCAGGCACTAGCTTGAGGCTGCTGGGTTTTCTGAGTCTGGGTTTTAAGCTCTCTGTGCTGCAGTTTCCTCTGAGGTATGACAGGAATAGAGGTTTGTGTCACAAGGATGAAGATGGGTCACAGGGTCTCTGGATGAAGAAGGCAAATAATAACTAGTATTTCTTCTGCATTACTTAGCCAAAATAAAGCATCTCTAGTAATTCAGCAATGGGTTGCTGTCTACAGGATGTGGCTTCCCAGTGCATGAACTTGTGGTCTCTGGCTGACCAGGCTCCAGGGCACCCCCTGGGTACGGGGGAAGCACTTGCTTGCCTGTGCCCACTGTCCCGGAGCCCCTCAGGTGCCCCGGTCCCACCCCACGCAGCAATGTCACCGCTCCTCTGCCTCCACACTGACAGAAATCCGAAATAGGAGCGATCGCCCTGACCCCAACCCTCTCCGGGCAGTGCCGCTCCCCACTGACGGGGACTCTGTCCCAGCGGACAGTCGCTCTTTCCCCATCCCGGAAGAAGTTTCCAGACGGATAACGGGCTGTGCAGCCCTTCCCGCTCTCAAGCGCTCCCCAGGCGGTGACAGCTCAGCCCAGG